CGGCGGCGGTAGCGAGCTCCGGGGAGCCTGGGAGCCCGGCTGGGGCTGGGGTCGGGGGTTCCGGGGGAGCGGACCTCGGTCCCCCGGCGCAGAGATGGGGAGAGGGCTTCTAATGGCGAGGAACACCTCTGCCCCATTCCTCCATCACCAGCACCACCCATCACCTCCACTGTCACCTCCGCCCTGCCCCAGGTAGGTCGCGGGAGTTTCTCTGCCCCAGGCCGGGGGGCTGTCAGCTGAAAGCCCTAGCAGCGCTCCCCAAGAATCACAGGAATCGCAGGAATAATAACGCACGCCGTAGAGCGCTCTGCGCCTCGCGTGCCGCTGGCCGCGTACGTGGTTTCGGGGGCCCCCCTTATTCCTGAAAACCCCACGTTCCTCTCAGCGTCGTCTGTTTGGAGAGGCCGTCCTCACTACCCTGTATTGGGCAGCAGCCCCCGCCCCGCAACACACGCACATCCTCCTCCCCCAACTGTATTTCTCTCTAAATTATTTAACCCACCCTTCCCCACCGCCCCCCCAACCGCCCGCGCCAAGCGTTGTTTGTTTCCGGCACCCGAACCCCAGTCCGGTTTGGGTGCTCAGCGAGTGCTGGGACTGTTTTGTTCACCTGGCCCATAGTTCCACTCGGAAATATTCTCAGAATAAACAAACAGATGCACTCGAGGAGGCAGCTGCTGTTATTATCCCTAATTTACAGTTGAGGAAATGGAGATTGAGAGGTTAAGTGACTTGCCCAAGGTCACATCAGCCAGCTTTGCTGGGACCCATAATCCATGATCTTGACCCCTGGCCCTTGGCTGGTGGTTCAGTCTCCTCCCACCCTGTTGCCTAGGGAAGGTAGGGGTGGTACCAGAAGCTGTGATGTGGCAGTGGGATGCTCCTCTGTGCAGCTGAACCAAAGGTGGTGGGGGCGAAGCCACTGATGAGGTGGCTCTAGCAGCCCCAGACCATCTGGCCTGGAAGGCAGAGAGAGAAAGCTACTGTTTTGCTGATCAGATCTGTCCTGCAGCACCTGAGATGTTCCAGGAGGCTGGACAGGCTGGGACTCACCAAACTCTAGAGGTGGACACCGTGTTTACTTGGGTGAGGGGAGTCTGAGCAGAAGGGCCCCAGAGACCTGGGTCTGCTTCTCAGCTTGCTTCCTCCCAATGCTGTGTGACCCCGGCAAGTGACTTTACTCTCCTGAACAACCCTTAGTTAAGCCCGGAGTCTGCAAGCTGAGCGGTCTCCCAGGAGTTGGGTCCTCCCCATGACTCCACTCAGCTATGGTGTGGTGCAGCGGAGGGACTCCGTCCTTGAACTCTCCAGACACCATCAACCCATCTAATCCCCTGTCTCTAATTAGGGCCACCCGGAAAGCCTCAGAAGAGCAGGAGAAGAGCCTCAGCCAGGCTCAGCCCGGCTCCTGTGGAAACTCTTGGAAAAAGAGGCCTGGTCCCAAGAGATAAGTGGATGTTTGTGCCTGAACCGGCACACAGGTCTTTCCAGGCTCAGGGTGAGTCTGGTACCCTCCTTGGTCCCATGGGTAGCCCCCAACTCCAGGCCTGGGGCCGAAATGTGCTGTGCCCCTCGGCTTGGGAAGGACGGAGAGGAAGAGAGAAACTTCCAGGGTCCTGGGACTGGGGGAAGGATCAGGTGATAGTGGGTAAGGTGGGGCTCATAAGAGAGCCAGGGGGCTCTCCACTCCCGCCACCTGGATATGGGGTGTCCCTGAGGAAGCTACGGCTCTGGAGCTGGAGGGCAAAGGCTGTTTTCAGCCTCAGGCACAGCTGTCTCAGCACGTGCGAGGCAGAATGTGAGCTCGTGTCATAATCCATGTGATTCCGCACTTACCCTCTTATGTCTGGGGGGCTGTGTCAGCACAGGCAGGATGAGAAATGTGTTCCTTCTCTCTCCCTCCTCCCACCTCTCCTCTCCTCTCCTTTTGTCTTTTTCGTCCTCACTGTTTCCACTTCTGTGGCTGCCTTTTTTTAAATCCTCTGTTCTTTCCCGGTCTCCCTTCTGCTCCATTTGGTTTTTGGTCTTTGCTTCCTCCGTTCGCCACCAGCTGTGGGTCCAGGGCATCCCAGCCCATGATGTGATTGTAAAGCAGAAAGCCGAGTTCACTGGAAACCATCTCCACACCTGGAATGGGGGCCACATAGCTTTTGTGCTGGTTACACGTCTAACTTTGCTTTATTTAAACATAAAATGCACATGATGACAAAAATGATCAGGATCAAAAAGTGTGAGGCTGTGAGAGCCCAGAACAACAGGACAGGAGAGAAGATAGAAAGAAGGCCTGGGAAGGCTTCAAAGAGATGGTGCAGCCTTTATTTTCTGGCTTTTCCTTTGCTGGCCACTCACTAAAAATAGTAGATTGCTGCTGGTGCCTCCTCCTGGCCTGAGCCTGGGGCTGAAGGTCCAGAGTAGGTGGAGGTAGGGGCCACTCTACGGCTCCCGGTCCTGAGTGCATATCATTCCCAAAGCACTCAAAGCCCCCTTCTCCAAGGACTCCTGCAGGTGGGGAGAGCACACCCAGGATGCACCCATTTCCTGCCCAGAGCCCTTTCTGATCCTTGCTTTCTCCTGGCAGGAATCGTGGCCCTTAAGCAGGGCTCCCCTCCTGCCGCACCCTCCCAGACTGGATGGTCCCCTGTCAGGTGTGGCTCAGTGCAAGGAGGGCACTGACCAAGGTCAGACCTCGCTGTCTTCCATGCTCCCTCCTGAACAGCAGGCTTTGCAGTCCCGCATCCCCTGAGACCTTGTCGAGCATCAGTTCTGAGCCCATCCCCAGCATCATGCTAGGTGCCTGCTACTCCCTTCAATTCTCATTGACTCCTCGCGTTATTCCAGGTTTGGGGATGAGGAAATGAAGGCTCAGAGAGGTGAGATGGCTTACCCAAAGTCACATAGGATTTGGACCCAGGTCTCTCTGATCCCAAGTGCAGTGATTATAACTAGGTTGGTGAGACAGAGCTAGCTAGGTTGGGGGATGGCGGTGGGGGTCTAAGTGGACCCCAGGAAAGACTGAGGGGGCCGAGTCCTCGGGCCCCCGAGCAGAGGCAGTCAGCCATTGTTTCTCATGATGCCTTTATTCCATATTCATTGAGGACCAGCTGCGGTCCTGAGCTCTAATGGGGAGTAAACCTTCTCCCTGCCATTGAGGACAGTCTAGTAAGGGGTAGAGGGGTTCCTTCTCTCCTCCATTAGTAGATCTGGGACAGAGACCCCAGGAAAGACCAGACCCTGGGCTGGGGTTGGGGATGGGGCTCTTCAGCCCCCCTGGGGCCATTGTCCACCTTCCTTACCTGCTGACTCAGCAGCATTGGTGCACTGTCTGGCTGGGGCTGGAGTCAGGCCGAGCTGAATAAGCCAGGGGCCTGTGAAGCAGCTCTGGCCATCCAGCTCATGGGCCAGCCCCACAGTCTACAGAGCTGGAAAATGCTATGGCTCCCCACTGCCCACAGGGCAGAGCCTCAAGTCCCTAGTCTGACATTTAAGGCTGATCCCAACCTGGTTCCAGTCTGCTGCTCTGGAAAGGTCTACCTAAGGGCTCCAGCTGCTTTCGCCCCTCTGTGCCTTTGCAGACTGGCCTCGCTGCTGTCACACCACCCCTCTCAGGTGATGCCGCCCCTCCCCCTCCCCTGGCTCTTTGTAGAAGCTGGTTACATGCTGTACCCCCTCCTTCCACCCCAGAGCAGCCCAGTCCAGAGCTCGGAGGTGTCAGTGTTTGACCAGGGACATGGACTGCCTGCTACATCCCTGCCTTTAGCTGTTTCCCCAAACCTCACTCCTCACCCAGGCCTTGGGAGCTGCAGCCACCTGCATGTCATGTCCTCCTCTCTGCTTTATCCACATCTGGTATATTTCATGTCTCATTTATTTAGTTTAATGTCTTTCTCTCCCATGAGAATGTTAGCTCCATGAGGGCAGAAAGGAGTTCATCATTTTGCTCAGGGGTCTGTGTCCCGTGTCCCCAGTGCCTAGGACACTGCAAGTGCTCAGTAAGGATTTGTTGGAAGAAGCTTCTTGGCCTCTGATGGGGAGCATTATGTCTCAACAGCTTGGGAACCGACCCTTCTCCCCTGCCCTGTGCAGCCTTCTCTCCCGTGGGGCTTGAAGCTGGGCACCCTGGGGGCCATGCAGAAGGCTGGGGCAAGGGGCCGGAGGGCCTCTGACTGCGGCCCTGCCCCTTACCGGCCCAGGTGCATCACCAAGTTTGCCCAGGTGGGTGGGGCTGCCCCCTGTGGCGTGTGCTTTGGTGGGTGGTGAGTGGTGAGTGGGTGGCAGGTCCTGGGGGAGGGCAGGAGCTGTGGGGCAGACCTATTTCTGTGTCTTCCCTCCTTAACCCAGGCCCCGGAATGTGTGCATGGGCACAGATGAGGCAGTGGGGCCTCAGGGGCTGAGTGGCTTGACTAAGGCCACGTCCTGGGAAAGTAGCAGGGCCTGGGCTCCGAGTACAGTCCTGTCACTGGCCACAGCTTACCCGACGCAGCAGAGCATATGTCAGGCGGAGGCGGGGGAGGGGTGGCATTTGGAGGATAGGGATCAAAAGCCCATAGGCCTGACTCTCCTGCCTCTCTCCCATCCCCCCGCCCCCACCCCCCCAAGCAGTATGTGGGCTCCTTCTCCGTGGACGATCTGGACACCCAGGAGAGCGTGTGGCTGGTGCAACAGCAGCTGTGGGCGCTGAAGGTAGGGAGCTGGCGGGGGGCGCCCTTTCCTGGTGGGATCATAGCCTTGGGATGGCAGGCTGGGAACGAAAGGCCCCTGAGACCATCTGATCCACCTCACCCCCCAATTATAGAGATGGAGCAAGTGAGGCCCAGGGAGGGACAGGACCAAAGCCATTCTGAAAGGTGGGCCCCACCCAGCCTCCTGGGGCCACATCCCGTGTGCCCTGGGACACTCTTCCCTTGGGCGGTTGTGATCTGTGCCCCATGGGTGGGAGCTGCAGGTGAGAACCACGGGTGAGAGACGTGGGAGATGGTCAGAACTGGACCAGCTATGGTCCTGCCTCGGGGGTGGCCTGCCAGGAGCCATTCATATTTCCCCAGCTCCTGGGGGGCGTCCACTGTCCAGGGCTCAGTCCTCCGTCAGGCGGGGTGGAGTTGGCTGACCAGCCTGTGGTGACTGGTACGGAGGCTGGGCTGGGCAGGGCCTGGGAGATAATTCTTGCCCCTCACCCACTCTCTCCCACCCAGGACTGTCCCCGACGCCGGGCCGTCATCCTGAAATTCAGCCTTCAGGGCCTCAAGATCTACAGCGGGGAGGGTGAGGTAGGAGCCCATGTGGGTACAGGTGAGGACTGGACAGAGAGGGTGTCCTACTCCCTCAGGACGTACTCACCTCCGCCCAGACCCTACGCTGCCCCTTGAGCCTCCCAGCTTCCCAGCCTGTCCAGGGCCTTTGGAGTCCTCTCCCTGAGCGGCCTCCCCCGGGCAAGCTCAGTGGGCAAGAGCCTCTCCTCCATCTCACCCCCTGCCCCTCCGGGCCTGCATCGTGAGGTTTTGTGAGTCCCCCGTCCTCTATGTCGGCTGCCTGGCGTTGGCCAGCGGGCTGTGGCCAGTTCTCATGGCGGTGGAAGGCGGGGCAGACTCGGGCTGCAGGCCAGCTGAGAGCCCCTGCTTAGTCAGCCATCCTCGTCCTGCTGCAAGCCAACGTTTGATGAACACTAACTGCATTCCAGACTGTACAATGCCACTCTCGCAAGACTGGTGCAAATGGTGACCCAGTGGGGGCCTTGGGGTCAGGTCCTATTCCACTTGCATAAGGTCTCACTGACCCCACCAACAACCCCATCGCAGGGGTATTATCACAACTTACCTTGTCACAAGGGCTCAGAGAGCTGGACTCACCTGCGTAAGACACATGGAGGGTGGGTGGGAGGGCCAGGATTCAAACCCTGGTCATCTGTCTCCAGGGACCAGGCGTGCAACCCCAGGGCCTGTGCCATGGCCTCTCTGTGAGCCTGCAGGCCATGAATGCTCTGCCCCTCAGTTCCAGAGCTTGGGCGTGGTGATTCCAACCAGCAGGTTGGCAGAGGGAGCAGGAGATCCAAGCCCAGTGGCTGTGGAAGGATAAGGGTTGTGGTTTGTAGTAGAGTTAGGGCAGGTCTGGAAGGAGGGGAGACTTCTTCACCCCAGTAGCTGGGTGGACCCTAAACTGGGCACAGCAGGCCTGGGAGTCCTGCCGGCAGGTGTGTGGGGCCCGCGGGGCTGGCATACACTGGGCTGGCTGCTGCGGGCCCGGTTGTGGGTCTGATGGAGGCCGTCACACCTGCTGCCTCCTCAGGTGCTCCTGATGGCACATGCCCTGAAGCGAATACTCTACTCCACCTGGTGCCCAGCCGACTGCCAGTTTGCCTTTGTGGCCCGAAACCCACGGAGCCCGGCCAGCAAGCTCTTCTGTCACCTCTTTGTGGGCAGCCAGCCTGGAGAGGTATCTGGCAAGGGGGGTGCCACGGAGGCTGGGGTTGGGGGTGTGCTGTGCATCAGGGACCGAGGCCTTGGAGGGCTTAGCTATGCTGGCTTGGGCCTGCTCCAGATGTGCACCCATCGCCACTCTGGCTCCTTCTGTGGCTCCGCCCACTGAGAATCCCACAAAAGTAAGTCAGGGGCCTCAGCATGCCACAGGGACCAGGCCATGTGCTTGGAGATTGGAGGGTCACCCTGCCAGGCCTCTGCTCCTGCTGCTCTCTCTGCCTGGAATGCCCTTCCCTTTCTCATCCTGGCAAATTCTAATTTGCCCTTCAAGGCTCAGCCCCTATGTCTGGGAAGCCCACCTACTCTTCTAGACTGCCCCTCCCTTCCGGGGTCCTGTGACCTGAACCATGCTCTATCATCTGGCTGTCCCTAATTACGGACACTGGAGGACTTTGAGAGCAGAGACCGGGTCCAGGCTCCAGTGCTTGGCCCCATGGCGCAAGTGGGTGGGCTGGTAGATCCCAGCAGTCAAAGCCAGTGTGACCGCCATGAACAACAGAGCCTTGGCAGCCAGTCGTTCAGCAAACAGAGGCTGGATTTGGTTCCATCCAGCAAGCATTTGCCATTCTCACTGTATGTCAAGCCCTGTGCTGGCTACTGGAGTGACAGGTGGCAGAGACATGGCCCTTGATCTTCTGGGGCTCATGGTTCCAATGTGTTGGGGCTGAATGATGGATGTGGTAGGTAGAATGTTCTGGCTCCAGAGTGCTGGGCCTATGCTGGGGAGTCTGGGCTCTGTTTCATTAAAGAAGCACAGGGGGGTGGGGATGAAGAATCTGAGGACACAGGTGACACTTTCTGCCCAGGGTCACACAGCAGCTCCTAAGTGACAGAGCCAGGATTGGATCCCAGGTTCTGCAACTCCAGGGCCTGGTACTGACCCAAGGCCCAGGGTAGGGATGGTAAACCCAGGGGGAGGAGTGCATTTAGCCCAGATACTCCCAGCTCCAAGCATGATGTGTGAGCAAAGTAGATGCTTGGTGTTTGTTAAATGGATAAAGGAAGCTGGTAGGGGAGGCTACATGGTGGTGGTGAGGTTTTGAGGTATAAGTAGAAGTTTTCCCAGGAACAACAGGGAAGAACATTCCAAACCAAGGAGCTGCCTGCCCCCATGGTGAGTGGGTTGATGCCTGAGGAGTTCCCCAGGAGACCTCCCACAGCTGAGCGCCCCCCTCCCCTCTCCAGGTCCAGATCCTGCACCTGCTGCTCTGCCGCTCCTTCCAGCTCACTTACCTCTTGCAGCACCCTGAGGAGCGGGCACAGCCTGAGCCCTGCGGGAGGCCTGCGGGGGATGTGCCCCTGAAGCCACTGTCCAGTCCTGGGGTCCCCCCTGGCTTAGTACGGGAGCCCTTTGGCCGAGATCAGCTCTCGCAGAACGTTCATGCACTAGTCTCCTTCCGGCGGCTGCCAGCAGAGGGGCCCATGGGCAGTATGGTATGCAGCGCTGGGGCCAGGGAGTGGGCGGTGGGCAGGGAACTGGGTGAGGGTTTAGGGGTCATGTGAGGGAGTGCTAGACTTCAGAGGGAGGGGGCTTCGCCTGACATGGCCGGGCCTGATCCGCCCGCCCCTCTGGGCCCCTCTTGGTGCATTAGAAGGAGCTGCCAGAACTGGAAGGCCGTGGGGGGCCTCGCCATGCCCGCCTGGGGAATCCCTACTGCTCGCCCACGCTGGTGCGCAAGAAGGCCATTCGGAGCAAGGTGATCCGCTCGGGGGCCTACCGCGGCTGCACCTACGAGACCCAGCTGCAGCTGTCAGCCCGGGAGGCCTGTGAGTAGCCGGAGCATGCCTGCCCCATGCACCTGGGGCACAGGCTTGTGTACCCCTATGTGAGTCAGAGAGGGTGGGCCTGAGTGTCCGTTTCTGCTAGGCTGTGACTGTGCCTCCGAGCGGATGCCTGTACTGTGAGCGGATATACATTGTAGTCACGTGTGTGAGTGTGTATTCAGATCTACATGCTGGGGGCTTGCATAGCTGTGGATGCGCTTTAACTGGTGAGTGGATGTGAGTGTGTGTGTGTGCACCTGTGTGTGAATGTGTCTTTTGGGGGGCTGGATGTGTGCCTGTTGAGCCAGGAGGCAAGCATAAGTTCATGGACCTGTGGGGGTGGGGTGGGGTGGGCTGGGTACAGGAGGGGCAAGAACACCTCTCTCTCTCCCTCTGACCCCCGGGTGGTCTTCATAGTTCCTGCTGCGTGGGAGGCGTGGCCTGGGGGTCCTGGCGGCCCCTCATGCCTGGTGGACAGTGAGGGCAGCCTGACGGAGAACATCTGGGCCTTTGCTGGCATCTCCAGGTAGGAAGGGCTTGGCAGCATGCCCAGCTCTTTGGGATGGGCAGAAAAATAGGTTGTGTGACCTCGACACCCCCCCACCCCCACCCCGGTGCAATCCTGTACAAGGGCAGAGTGCTTCTGACCTCTGCACCCTGGGCCTGTTTTCTCACATGTAAAATGGGGATAATAAAAGGGCTTTCATTGCAGGGCTGTGGAGACGATCGAGTGAGGTAATTCAAATGAGTAAAGATCTCAGCACCCAGTGACAGCTCCCTAAGTGTCAGCTCTTTAAAACTCTCCCGACTGAATCTTAAAGTTGTCAGTTAAGGAAGTCTGAAAGCTTCCTGTCGTTGAGGGCCTTCTCCGGGACAGGCACTGTGTTTCTGATGCCGTGGGCTGTTATGCCATTGCCAAGGGGAGCGACCGGAAGCTGGGTCCAGACTGGGGTCCTACCTTCAGCCTCTCCATCTGCCCTCCCAGGCCCAGTGCCCTCGCGCTGCTGCGGAGAGACGTGCTTGGGGCCTTCCTCCTGTGGCCTGAGCCGGGCACCAGTGGCCAGTGGTGCCTGTCGGTGCGGACGCAGTGCGGTGTGGTGCCCCATCAAGTGTTCCGAAACCACTTGGGCCGCTACAGCGTGGAGGTAAGAGTGCGGGCCGCTGCCGCCACCACTCGCCCTCAGGCCCCTCCCGGTCAGGCCCCGCCCCTTTCTAACCACTAAGCCCGCCTCGTCCTCATCCCAGTCCCCCATTGGCTCTCTGGCCCCTCATTGAACATCAACCGGCTCCATCATTGGCCGAGCTGGCCCCGCCCCCACGGGCTCACTTGACCCCAACTCTACCTATGGGCTCCTCCCTAGGGCCCTCTCGCCAGAGGCGTTCAGAGTTCTCTCTAGTCGAGTCTGGGGCTAGCGTCATACCTTAATTCCTACTGGAATCCCAGCTTTTGCTTTCCCACACCTAACCCATCAATTAGAAGAGGAGGAAGCTGACTCAGAAAGAGTAGGGGCTTGCCTAAGCTCATATAGCCTGTGAGTCTCCGGGTCTGGCGTCTTGGCTGATCACAGGTGTCCAGGGACTGGGATGGGTGCGTGGAGCTTTTTAAATGTGTGCCCTTACCTCATGCTAAGTGCCTCAGTCCTGTCCAGGCTGGGAGGGGAGAAAGAGAGGAAATGGTGTCTGGATCTGCTGTTAGCATCACAGTGACCACTCTGAACTCGAATTTCCTCCTCTCTGAAATGGGGCAGGATCCCCAGTGCGGGGGTGGTTGGTGCCCAGCACCAGCCATGGTGAAGGGAAAGCTGGATCTGAAGCCCCTTCCTCCCCTAGCACCTGCCAGCTGAGTTCCCCAGCCTGGACGCCCTGGTGGAGCACCATGCCGGGACCGAGCGCAGCCTCTTCTGTTCCCTTGACATGGGCCGCCTGAACCCCAGCTATGAGGAGCAGGACTGTGGGCCCGAGGGGAGGCCACCTCGGACACTCCGGCCCCTTAGCCATGCCAAGTCAGAGGCAGAACTGCTCGGTCTGGGCTAGGAGGCCAGCCCCCATACCAGCAGGCCCTGCCTCATCCTGGCTCGTGGGCCTCAGCAGGCTACTCTGCCCGTCTTCCATCCCGTTGGTCACCAGTTTCATCCAGTCGCTCTGCCCCTTGGACCAGTCCTCCATCACTTCACTGACCGTATGGGAGAGTCCTGAGATTTGGGATTGCCAGTGGCTTCTCATACGACATGTGGCCCCTTGAGATTGCAGGAAGGGCAGACAGAGCTCCAGGCTTCTGGGAACTTGCTGGGGGACTTGGATGCTTGTCCTCTCTGGGCTTCACTTTGACAGGCGAGGGAGAAGTGTTCAGGAAGGCAGGAGGAGTGAGTTCTCGCTTTGAGCAAAGGCCTGAGGGTGAGCCACCCTCCTCTCCATGAGAGACAGAGAAACCATCAGATGCTGACCAGGGCTGTCAGGGGCCACCTCACCTCACTCAGCCAGCTCCATCAGGGATTGAGTCAGAGCAGAACCATCCAGTTAGAACTGACGTGGGCCGTGTCAGAGGGGGCTTGGCCTCAGTGGGCAGAGGGGATCCACAAAAATGTCTCCAGTCTAAGGCACTGGCCCTGCACTGACTGACTGATCCAGGTATCACCCTTTATAAATAAACATGACAGGCTTAAGTCTAACAAGTTAGGGAGCAAGGTCACTTTGGATGAACTTCTATTTCTGAGGCAGAGACCTAGTCATGAGTCTGGAGGCTGCCCTTTCCCCCACCCCGGGAGTGGGCTGTGACTGTTCAGTGCCTCAAAAGTAACAGGTTTCTGACTCCTGGAATGAAGATGGCAGCCTCAAGTGACAAGAAATAAGGGAGAACCCTCAGAAGCTGGTGTTCCAGCTTACAATTTCCTACCCAGGAAGTGGTCTTGGCTAGGGACTTTGTCATTCTTGTAAGGGTTAGGAGGAAGCCATCTTTTGGGGCTCTTTTTACTAGAACTACAACACTGATTTTGTACTGAATGTGGTTGGGAACCTGGGACTCGCTTTACGGCCATTTCTACTGGAACTCCTCTATCCCCTGGGCAAAACCCTGCTCCCTAGTGGGAGGCCTCAGCCCTGTATTGCCCTGGCAAGGTTTGGTAATACGGTGCCCACGATTACAGCACTGGAGTCACACTTTTAAGAAGACCTGGTAACTGATCCAGGCTTCAACCAAAGCTTATTACCTCTGTGATATCTCTGTTTTGGATGTGTTTTGTTGTGTAAATTATCTGTGTGGACAAGGCGTCAGGAATGTTCCCAAAGCACCTTAACATTTCTTCACACATTTATTGCTCACGTGGTACAACCATGGCAAGGTTTTTGTTCCATGTGTGCAGATGCTTCAACATCTTAATGATAGATTAGTTTTCTCTGTCCCAACCAGTACTACTTGGGTAGCCCAGCTCTCCTTACTGTGTGTACTTGAAATAAAATGCATTTTTCCATTTGTCTAGTGCAGACTTTTCCTTTGAAATTGAAGTCTTTGTTCACGTTGCCGTGTGGTTTTTGTTTGCCAAACACACCTTCAGCTGGTGCTGGATGGTAAACTAGACAGGTCCTTTCCTCAGAGGCCCAGGATGTCCTGAAGGAATCAGATCCAGGTATTTATTCAAATCTTATCTCTCCTAAAAAATCTTCAGATTATTTCCTATAAGATAAAGACTCAAGTCCAATGCTCTGGCAACTTCGGTTTTCCTTCTGTTCCTGGAACATGCTACAGGACCTTTGCACAGCCTGGACAGATCTTGTCCTTCCCCCTGCCCTTTGCCTGGTTGATTCCTCAGTTCCTGTCACTTCAAGAAGCCTGCCCCCGCCCGGGGCGGGGGTGGGGGGGGCGCGTGCTGGGTAAGGCTCCCTTGTTGGATATTCTATGGAACTGGTCCTTTAGTGTGTGATTTCTCATTCATTTATGGGATTTCTGTATGTAGGAGATCTGTTTCCTATGGCAGTCTCTCCTGCTAGACTAGACTATGAGCTCCAGGAGGGCAGGGGTTGGCTGTCTCCCAGGGCCTATCATGATGCCTGGCAGGCAGCTCGCTGACTGTGCCTCCGTGCAGAGTGGAGCCCAGAGCTCGCATGTTCTGGTTGGGGGGACTTGTGCTGGGCCAGGAGAGATGGGCCCGGCAGCCTCTACAGTCAGAAAGACTTTGGCTCTCAAAGGTTTTTGTTTTGTTTCTTAATCTTGAATCTTAGAAAAAATGAGGCACGGCCTTAGAAACAAGTTTTGCTCTGTCCCGGGGGCATGTTCTGGGGCTGCCTTGTGAGTCAATACGGGGATGTGAAGAAAGGCTAGCTAGGTACTCCTTGCCCTTCTCAGCAGGTCTCCAACCCCCACGTGAGACCCCTCATCTTCTCTCTCTGAGATGGAGTCAAGCCTAGCCTCCCGGTCATAGCTGGGCAACCTTGGACAAGTTGCTTAACCGCTCTGAACTGGGGCTGTGAGCATTAAAGAAGCGAACGGGCCTGAAGCGCCTGGCACGGAACAGGCAGACGCTCCAGCAAAGCCAGGTCCTCAGGGAGGCGGCCCAGGCGTGCGGGCCTCCAGCCAGGGGATCTCCCGCACCACACTCCCTGCGGCCCTGCACGGAGAACGAGCTGACGTTCGCGGGAGCCGCCGCCTGTGACGCCGCGGGCGTTGCCCAGCAACCGCGAACGCCCTGGCGGCGTGCGTGCGAGCG